GCTTTTCCATTTTTTGGCTGTGACCTAGTTTTTGACCGCAAGTGACCCATAAAGGAACTTGACCTAGCAATCATCTAACAATTTTTCTTACCAATTTCCAGGATATTTTGACTAGAACAGTAGCCCCTAGAGAGTTAACAAGGTTTTTTCCATATATGGGCTGTGTGACTTTGTATTTGATCCAAAATGACCCAAATTCAACCTAGACATAGAAATCACTATCTGACCAATTTTCATGATAATTGGACTGGAGCAGTAGCCCCTAGGATGTTGACAAGGTTTGTCAATACTTGGGCTATATGTCCTAGTTTTTAAATCCAAGTGACCCATATTCAAACTTGACCCAGAAATTATCAAAGCAACCTTCCTGACTAATTTCCAGGATACTGGGATCACAACACTATCCCCTAGATTGTTAACAAGGTATTTCCATTTTTGGGCTGTGTGACCTAGTTTTTGACCCCAAGTGACCCATATTCAAACTTGACCTAGAATTCATCAAAAACAATCATTTTGACCAATTTCCAGGATATTTGGACTGGAACAGTAGCCCCTAGAGTGTTAACAAGGTTTTGCCACATTTGGGCTGTGTGATCTAGATTCTGACCCAAGGTGAACCATATTCAAACTTCACCCAGAAATCATAAAAGTAATGTTTCTGACCCATATCCAGGATATTTTAATCAAAACAGTAACCCCTAGATTGTTAACAAGGCTTTACTATATTTGGGCTGTGTGACCTTGTTTTTTTTACCCCAAATGAGATACTTGAGCTAAAATTCATCAAAGCAATCATTCTGAATTATTTCCAGGATATTTGGACTGCAACAGCAGCCCAAAGAGTGTTTACAAGGTTTTGCCACATTTGGTCTGTGTGACCTTGTTTTTGACCCCAAGTGACCCATAGTCGAACTGGACCAAGAAATCATCAAGAAAACCCTAGGAATTACCCAAAATCCAGTCTTTCCGTGCTTGCACGTGGCCTACAACCTAATTGTGGTGAAATTGTTTTTTTGTGGCATTTTTTATTTTTTCAGTTAACCCTTTACCTCATGAGCATATTGTGAAAAATGGCCGTTTTCATTGAAAAGCCTCCTGTTACAAGTTCAAACTGCCATGAAACTATGAAAAATGCTTCAATACTGATGAAACTTGGCACAAATGTTGACTGGACCATAGCCTCTGTAACGGCATGCTCCATCTTAAATTTCCTGTTACCACGGCAACGGGGGGACGTCTCAAAATTGCCAAAAATCACTATTTTGCATCGTTTTTTTTCCATCAAAACTGATTTCAAAGTGTTACAACTTCTCAACGGATTGAGATAGAGTAAAAGGCTTTTCCGCGTTGGTTACATGTTACCTTACAATCAATCTGAGGCCATTTTTAGCCTGTCACATGTCCAAAATTTTCTTGGACATGAGGGGGACACCGGCCCCCCTTCAAACCCCTGAAACAGAAGGGGCTCATCCCCCTTCTGGAAACCCCCTGAGGTACCTTTCTGGTGGGAGGCGGCGCCGATAAAGTGATCACTTTTTCTATCAACATTTCCAAAACAAAAAAATCGTGTTTGGGGCCTAAACAGGGCATTTTTTCACTGTTTGAATGGGGGGGGGGGGGGGTCGAAAATGCGTTAAAACGCGTATATATGGGGTAAAGGGTTAACAAACAAAAAGCACAGAAAATTCAATTTACTGGACAAAATGTTTCATAACATTTAAAAGTTGTGAATCAAAATAATTCTCTATATACTCACCAAGGGAACTCAACTAATGAAAGACAATTTGAAGACATGGTAAAACCCTACGTTGTCACTCACAAAAGACACAATAAGTATGTGTTTTACATAGAGACATGTATATGGGGTGTAAGGCTAATAAAACACTATAAATATAATATAAATATAATGAACATCTCTGTAGATCAAAATATACTTCATCTGAAAACAATTCTCTTAATAAAAATATGAAATGTCTATATTGTCTGTTAAGATAATGTGATGACCAATCAAATATCATCCAATATGGACCACAATAGTTGTGCAAACGCAGACAAGATCATTCCACCACGTGTCCAGGTCATGACAAAACATAGTAATCAAAAGGACATGCAATTAAATCAAAAGCTGAATCTATATTACATACTTGACGGCATTTTGTTGTTATTTACTTTGAAACCGAAAGGGTCTGTGTGTTTTAGATCTGATGCCCTTAGAATCTTAACAAAAATAAAGTGTCTATTCAACAGGAATACATTCTTTCTGGTAAATTGATTGTCCGTTAAATATGAAGGATCCCAGTAATGATATCCGTTAAACATGACAAATTTATTTCAAAAACTTCACCTTAATTATTTTGTAATCTACATTTCACTTTTATTTGAAATTTATTATTTGAAATACAACATGTTCATAGAACTTTACTAAGTTATAACATTATCAGTATTGCCCTTTACTTGTTATCAAAATATGCCAGTTCGGTCGGCTTATACAGTGTATAGGCTAGCTATACGTGACTCACATATGGCTAGAACTTTTGGCTAGAAGTACGGGCCCGTACCATGCTTCAATAAATTTTTCAAATGGGACGGCTAGGAGGCTAAAACCTGAAACTGAGTTTGCCATGTATGTTGGATTAGTACATAGACAGAGCAAAAATAATCAAAATATCAAAGGAACCAAATTACATGTACCTGGCCAAAATATGTCCATGCTTGTCATGTTTTCAAGATGTGGTCACCATTTTGTCAAGTGGTTTGGTTCGCTCACTTGAACCAAGTTTGCAACCACTTCACATCCTGCCTCTTGATAGAATACACTAGGATAATATTACATGAAAGAATAATCTGGGGTGTGACTTAATACCGGATATGACTCATATCCACGAATATGACTTTAAATACCGGATATGACTTACATTTTACAAAGTATTTATTTTTAGCTATTTTCCTTTATACAATGTTTTATAATAATAAAACGATATTACATGCAAAAAATCTTTAAATTTGGTCCATACATGTAAATAAAGAAGTTATAATTTATATTTGTTTCACGTTCTACAAAAGTCATATCCGTGGCGTACAGAAGATACCGAATATGACTTATATTTAACTAAGTAATTATTTTTTGGATTTTTTTTCTTTATACAATGATTTATAATAATAAAACAAAATTACATGTAAAAAATCGTTAAATTTGGTCCATAAATAAAAAAGTTATAAGTTATATTCCTTTCACCTTCTACAAAAGTCATATCCGTGTTGTACAGAAGATACCGAATATGACTTATATTTTACCCTACATGTATAATTATTGATGGATGTTTTTTGTTGGATACGATGTTTTATAATGATAAAATGATATTACATATCTGTATCTACTGTGACGTAAGTGTCTTAAATTTATCATTATTGCCTATTGTTTATTGCGAATATATGTTCTCTAATGATATACATGTTGTATCTGCACGAGAAATATGATAAGACGGGTGTAGTGTCAATTACTGTGTGGTATCCGACTTTTATAATGTCCAAGAGAATATATGCAAAAAGTTGCACTGTTACATATAAATAATCAACAGTATTCTTACCATGACTGGTAAACGGCCTTATTATTTGTATGAGATTAATAATTCTGTTTAGATGCATATTAAGTCAAATGGGAAGGAATCTCTTATATATCGCACTTTTTATGCATTTCTTTAAATAAGTCCTGTTTATAATATGTTTATTAATAGACTTACTCATGGAAAGGGAGATGAATTAATGTATCTTTTGTATTAGTCATTTCTATTTCAAGAAAACCAAAATTGAGAAAATATACTTAAATCTTAAGAAAGGTAAAAACTTCACATTTTATTGGTAAATGTTGTGTTTATTATTTGATTGTTTTTATTCACTGTCTTCGTATTTTGTGCATGTATTTGCTGATATAATGTATGTCTTTTCATTATTATCATATGTAAATTTTGTATGTTGATGTAATGTATCCTTTTCACTGTAATCATTTTAAATATTGTATACTGTTATAATGTATGTCTTTTCGTTTTTATCATATGTAAATGTGTGTTTGCCAAGATTCGAACCGTTTTAAAACATGCAAAACGAATATGACCTATTCTTAAATAATGACTAAAACTTCAAAGTTTTTGCACGTAACACTCTTTTTATATTGTGTAAATATATTGAGCCAGAAATACTAAGAAAAAAAGTCTGCATTTAAACATGCTGAGTCATATTCTGTGTTTATTTTCTGCCATGGAGATGCGTAACAAATATGACTCGTATCTTAATAATTGAAAATCCGAAATAAAATTACTTTGTAAAATATAAGTCATATTCGGTATCTTCTGTCCGACACAGATATGACTTTTGTAGAAGGTGAAAGGAATATAACTTATAACTTCTTTATTTATGGACCAAATTTAATAATTTTTTACATGCAATATTGTTTTATTATTATAAAACATCGTATAAAGAAAAAAAATCTGAAAAATAATTACTTTGTTAAATATAAGTCATATTTGGCATCTTCTGTCCGCCACGGATATGACTTTTGTAGAACGTGAAACGAATATAACCTATAACTTCTTTAATTATGGCAGGGTTCTCAATAACAGCAGGCCACGGCCAAAATGACTGGCTTAAATCATGATTTCATTTTGGTCTGTTGAAATTTTAAAAAGATACATAGTTTTCTTACTTTTATGCTGAAAATTGTTGTTTCAGTTACACAAAAGGCCTGCTGGAATTTTCCTTTTGGCTGTTGATGCAAATTTTATTGAGAACCCTGTACGGACCAAATTTTACGATTTTTTTGCATGTAATATTGTTTTATTATTATAAAACATTGTATAAAGAAAAAAAAGCCAAACAATAATTACTTAAATATAAGTCATATCCGGTCTTTAAAGTCATATGCACTGATATGAGTCATATCCGGTATTAAGACACGCCAAATAATATTTGGTCCCATCAGTATTTAGTATTACATAAATAACTACCTGTAACATTATCCAACACCCTCAATAGCCTTTCCAATGCAACTCGTTCTCCGCGGGTTGAAGGAACATTATTTTTGTCTATGGTGTAGTTCAGGACCATTTCATACCCACGTTTAAAAACAGTTGAAAAAAGATACACGTCAATAGATGACACTCCAGCACTGATTTCTTTTGCATTTGTTTTAGTTTCGCAATAAGCTTGTGAAAACGGAAACCCATTGTGTGCATTGCACGTCAAGATTTTTAGTAAACCAAAACAATATGCAGAAGGTGTTTTAAGACTTTTAAGTAATTCTTTCAATGCCTCCACAGCATCAGTTTTATCCCAATACCTTTCAAAAATTGACTCTTTTGAAGTTTTGTATTTTTTCAAAGGAGGCTCACCACTTCCTGCCATTATCAGTGATCATGCCGTTTTGGAACACACATGTATTTTGAGTGGATTGTGACCGCCCACTTCAAAGTAGTACTAACAATTATTGATTGGTTTTAACTTGAATTATTATTCCAGGAAACAGATGATTGGATTTTATGAATATCATCATAAAATATGCCTTGGAAAAGAATGTAGGCCTACTTAAAAAACATTTTATTTCCAAAATGGTAGATTAGTGTGTAGATCATTCGGAACACCTCGCTGATTTCCCATAATCATTAGACCATTCGGAACACCTCGCCGATTACCAATAATATCATCTCGGACACAATATGTATTGAAAGTAGATCAACACGTGATGTAAACAAACATGTAGTTTAATGTTATTTGGCATCCATTGTAAAATAAAGTCTAATTGATAACATTATGACTGAATTGTATGTCTGACAGTTCGAATTTATGTTATTATGTCAACTGACACATATTTTTAACTAAATATGTAGACAGGTAAACATTGTGTACATTCGGTTTCTTGGAACATATGTATGACTATCATCATGTAAAAAGTGTATTATTTACTTTATATTTATTAATTGACATAATATAAGTTGACATTTATGTAATATAATGAAAAAAGTTAGTCAACATATCACAACATCTATTTACTATTTGTTTACATGTTTAAATTTTATAGCGTAGGCCGGACCGTAATACCGCTTCCGATCCGTGTATTCATACTATTGTGATCGAGGTCTTTATCCAGAGATTGAATGAAAGGGCCGAGTAGTTGCGATTGTCATTAGACTTTATCCGGCGACAATCGCAACTACTCGGCCCTTTCCGTAAACATAAATTCGAACTCAGACATATGATTCAGTCATAATGTTATGAATTAGACTTTATTTTACAATGGATGTCAAATAACTACATTGTTACAGATTAAACTACATGTTATTTACATCACGTGTTGATCTACTTTCAATACATATTGTGTCCGTGATGATTATTGGTAATCGGCGAGGTGTTCCGAATGATCCGGCGATTGACGGAAAGGGCCGAGAAATTGCGGTTACAAAACGGCATAGAAACTAATGCTTCTCCGACGCATGCGCAGTGTAAAGAGTCATACTGGGGCACTGTTTTTCCATAACATACGCGCTATTTTATACTCGTTCATGTCCTTGATAATGTCGATTTGCCGAACAAAAGGACATACAGTAATAAAGTTTCCTTTTAAAAGAAAAGGCTTGCCCAATTGTGCCATCAACCAATCCCTTAAAAAATGATTTTTTTTTTGAAAAACCTCCTAAATCAACTCTTTATGATAAAGAGATAATTAGATATATAAAAATAATAAATTGACCTTATATACAAGAAAAAAACAAGGTACCTATGTTTTTACAGGTATAGAGGGTAAATTTATTATCACTAATTTATTTCATTATTTGTATATCATAAAGGGTTTAGTTGTTGTTTTTTTTAACACAAAGACTGGACGAGCACCTGTGCCCATTTGTGCCAACAGTGTTATGCATGCAAATTTGGATAAAAGAAGGACCAGAAGTCCACTGATTAAAACTGAACCGGAACATGCTGACGATAATTACAGTCTTTTTGTAAAAAGGAATGTTTTTTGTCAAAAACGATTTGAAATTTATTCTCTATTGTATAAAACTAATAAAGAAAATAATCAATCGTAAAAATACTAACACTGGCTCTCCCACGTGGAGGAAATAAAAGTATCTATCTATCATACTGAAGGGAAACAAGTGTGCACATTTTATTTCCACTTTTTTCCGCAGAAAGGGTCAATCGTTTTGGCAGTTGCTAATTTCATTTAAGTAGCAGCTTTAAAGACAAGTAAATGCACTAAAAGACTTCGTTACGTGGTACTAATTAATATGCATGTATCAACTATGTTCACCTAAAAGATCTATTGACATTCGGAACACCTCGCCGATTACGGACACAATCAACACGTGATGTAAACAAACATATAGTTTAATGTGTAACAATGTAATTATTTGACATCCATTGTAAAATAAAGTCTAATTCATGACTGAATTATGTCTGACAGTTCGAATTTATGTTTATAACTGACACACATTTGTAACTAAATAAGGAATATCATAGACAGGTAAACATCATGTACATTCTGTTTCTTGAAACATATGTATCATTATGTAAAAAGTGTATTATTTACTTTTATATCTATTAATTTATATAATATAAGTTGATATTTATATCATATAATGAAAAAAGTTAGTCAACGTATCACAACATCTGTTTACTATCTGTTTACATGTTTAAATTTTATAGCGTAGGTCGGACCGTAATACCGCTTCCGATCCGTGTATTCATACTATTGTGTTCGAGGTCTTTATCCGGAGATTGACGAAAAGGGCCGTGTAGTTGCGATTGTACTATTAATTTACATGTTTAAATTTTAAAGCGTAGGTCGGACCGTAATACCGCTTCCGATCCGTGTATTCACATTATTGTGTTCGAGGTCTTTATCCGGATATTGACGGAAATGGCCGAGTAGTTGCGATTGGTCTATATACCGACAACACAGGATGCGCTTTCTGTAGATCAGCACGTGCTAAGGTTAATGATACGCATGGGCTATTTTTAGATAGAACATTTTCGTTTATAATTTATTTCTTCCTTCTACTTGCGCTTTAAACCGATAAATCAAGTAAAAAAAGAAATCCTATTTATAGAACCACACTGGGATTACCGAAGTAACAAAAAATAGCTTCGTAATATTACTGCAGTATCACGGAATCGCCCGAATTGTCACGATTGCAGCGGAAACTCAGACTGGTTTCCCGTTCCATCATGCAGTACGTATCTTTAAAAAGATAATCGGACGAGAGGTAAACTGGTTAATTTGCAAAAATAATTTCAAAGTCTTAAATGTAAAATAATGTTTGCAATGCTTGCATTAAAATTATATAATTTTATTTTATAGCTGAAGACAAATTTTGAAAATTTGAATAATCCAATAAAAAAAAATTTAAAACTTTCTTATTTTATTGAATCACCGAAATATGGAAATTATTAAATTTCTTTTAATTCAATTTGACTTACAATAACAATATGTGATCACTGTTCTTTAAAGCGTTAATTGTTGATAATTATACTGATGTGAAAATATATATTTCATTTTTTCCCTATTTTTATGAAAAAATCTTCATTGAAGTCAAATATTGCGATAATTTTATACGAATGAGTGATATATAAGACGTACTGTAACATAGTTAGAAAAAGTGCCGAAAAGACCGGGGGAGTTTAAGGCTGCAATGTACAGTATCGAAAAGTCGAGGAGTTGAAAAGTCCTGAGATCGTCCAATGAGATAGTGCGCCTGTGGGCGCGGAGCTATTTGTGTTGACTATTTTTTTTTTGTCCATGGACCAGATTTTGACCATTTAATCCCTTCGATTTACCGCGAAAGATAGATTCGGAACCAAAATATCCTTTCGATTTCTTTTCTGTAAATCATTCTCTGTATAGGAGGGATTTACAGGTAGTATGCTAAAAATAGATGGTAAGACCTCAGATACTGTAGGGAATTTTACACATTAGAGAATCACTAAGGCTCTGATGGGAATAACCTTTGTTAAGGATTATGTAATAGTGATAACAAAATAAGAAGAATAGAAAAACACCATTGTCTTACTAACTTAAGTCATTTACAAATGTAATTATTGTTTTTATTTTTCCAAATCTACTTTTTTTACCCTGGTCGGGATTGCTTCTACTGGTAATTAAATTTCTGACGGATGTATATTGGAAGGATTTTAAATTTGCGGAATTTTGGAACAAGGGAATGTAATTATACTAAACAAAGTACTTTTCAAATGATATGACGGAAAACAATTTGGATTTGAAAATCCTACCCTTTTTAATTGTTAGAAAAAGATAAATCCACAAGTAAAATTGTGGAAAAAAAAAAAAAAAAAAAAAAAAAAAAAGAATTGACCACGTGACACATGAAACTTGCAATGGAACACATGACAGAAAAGTTTAAAATAATCAGTAAAACATTACCACTATGTTTCAAGGAAATGGTCCCTCTGAAATAATACGAATTTTGTTTCCTATAATATATGGTTTAAAAACAACAACAAAACCAATTTCTGGAAAATGCGGCTACAAAGGTATTCATTAAATCATAAATAAAATAATTTAATGAGTTTAAGAACGTATCGAATATATACATGTATGCAAAACATGTCAGTTATGACTCTCATAACATGTATATTCTGTATATTATTTTGTCGCCTCCTGAAAGGCGACATATAGTAATTGCACCATACGTCCTTCTGTCCGTCTGTCTGATATTCTTGTCAACCCTCCATCTCCAAAACAGCTAGGAGATTTCAGTGGAACTTCACAACATTGTTTGTCAGCATTCCTAGTTATGCATAGTATCTTGATTTTCCGCCTCAATTTTTGGCACAGTTATGGCTCCTTAATGGTCTTGTTTTGTTTTTTTTGTTTTTTCAAATAAAATAAGCATGTCCGCGCTTCTTCACCAAAAACTGCTGGGGTATTTCAGCGAAACTTCACAAGATTGTTTGTCACCAATCCTAGTTGTGCATACTCTTTTGATATTCTGCTTGATTTTTTGGCACAGTTATGACCTCTTAATGTTCTCTTTTTTCTATAAATGTGATATTTATATTATTTAATATATTTGTTTGGTAGTCAGTCTTATTTTGTCTATATTTGGATGAATTGATATTATTTTGTTAATTTAATACTGGAACAAAACAAGACTTGCTTAAAAAAACATAATGAGTAATTCAGATGTGACTTTGACTTTCACATTCAAGGTCAACTTAGTATAATTACTTTTTTCTACAATAATGTGATTGCTGTTGTTTTGTCATGTATCTGTGCATAGTTAGAAATTCTTTGTTCTTTATAAGTTAGCTTGTAACATTTTATTGTTTCTTTTGATATTTTATTTGAAAAATAAACAATATTACAATCTTACAATACACCACTTTCTTTCTACTACCTATATGTGTTGCCTCAAAACAGCTTCATAATGACAAGTAATCATGTTTATATACATCCACTTAAATGTCCAGAACTTTATAAGTAGGAGAATGCTGCTATAAAGTGAAATTATTTGCCAAAAATATAGCAAAATGTCTACAAAGTGATACTTTTAATACAAATTCACTTTAATAATACTTGTTCGCAAAAAAGCAAAGAAAGCAACATTTTGTTCCATAGTCATAATTAAAGGCTTTTTTTTGCGCGGAGCTTCTTTTTTGCTGTCTATGCAGCAATATTTGTACTTGTTCTT